CATCATGGATGGCAAGAAAGCACATAGTAGATCGATGAGGCCACTGGCTAAGGGTCCATTGAGCCATTTGCCTCAAAGCCCAAATCTCAATAGATGACCCTCATAGGCTTGATCAAAGGTGCAAGGCATATAATGGCAAGGACTAAGGTGCAAGGTATATAATAGCAAGGACTATGGGAAAATGGTGGTATGATCAAACGATTCCCTTCAATGCAGCCAACAGCTCATATTACCCCTCTATGGTCACTGAAATTTAGAAAGCAGGGTCTGGGGTGAAGCCTCTTACAATGTATGAGCTCAGCAGGACTATCTTGGATATAGAGGTAGAAGAAGTTCAGAAATGGATTGAGGATCTTAAGGAGAGTTGGCCGAAAACAGATGTCATTGTTATGAGTGACGGTTAGTGGGACAAAGTCAATAAGAAAGATTATCCAAACTTTCTAGTTTATTGTCCTCATGGTAAGACCTTCTTGTTTAAGAGATCGGTCACCACGGTGAGAAGTGAAGTTCATTGCACAATTATTGGACAAGATAGTTAAGGAGGTGGGAGAGAAGCATGTGGTCCAAGTTGTTAAAGATTAATGAAGAACGGAAACATTTGGTATGGACCCCATGTGCTGCCCATTGTATTGATCTCATATTGTAGGAGATTGGTCGGCTCAAGCATGTGAAGCCGACTCTTTAGCAAGGTCGATCACAAGATTTATCTATAACCACTCCAAGATTTTCCATTTGATGACACAACATACCGGCAAGGAGTTAATTAGGTCTGCCGTCACCCGGTTCGTGATGGACTATTTGGTTGTGAGCTCTATTGTACAGTCCCAAACCGCATTAAAGAGGTTGTTCACTAGTGAGGAGTGAAGAAAAGGAAAACTTGCAAAGTCCTGTCAGGGACGGAATGTTGAGGGCATAATCTCCAATATAAGATTTTAGTTCAGGTGTACCCACATTGAATTCACAACTGCTCCTCTAGTTACACTGTTGAGACTGATATACTGTGACAAGAAATACATCATGGAGATCCTTTATGAGATTGAGAAGGCAAAGAGATATATTAAGGAGAAGTGCAGTTTTGCCTCTGCAGTAGTGGAGATCATAGAGAAAAGGTGGAAAGATCAATTGGCATACCTGATCCACTATGCAGGTAAAATGTCTATTTATATACTTAGAATTAAAATATTTCTTCGGTGTCAATTTAGGTGGTTTCTCCATCTTTGTATTGTATAAGTTTCTGCTTCAGTTGTTTCTATTCAGTGCTTATTATTCCTAACAAGGTTATCTAGATACATTATTGATAGGTTGGAGAGGAGCCGTAAAAATAAATTAGTGGCATTGAGTGAGGTAAGATTTAACAATTACTGTAGCCTATAAAAATTTCATTGACTTGGTATACCTGTAACGCATAATTAAAGCACTAAAGCATAATGTCTTTGTTAGATTTCTATGTATAGAGAAGCGGAAGGCTTATTTGTAACAAGACTTGCCAGGGCTTTTCGCAGTACAATAGACCCTAGTAATGTCTTATATAATTACGTAATCTTTTACACCATTTTCCTTATGGAATGTTTCGGCCCTTTCTTACGACACTCTTTACGTCTCATTTTAGTTGAGTGGTGGGAGTGTCATGGTGGAGATGCACCTCACTTAAAGAGGATAACAATCAAGGAGCTCTCTCAGATATGTTCAGCTACTGGAAGTGAACGAAACTAGAGTACCTTCCAATGGATACACACTCTTAGAAGAAATCAGCTCACTTCGACGAGGCTTCAAAAGCTCATTTTCGTTCATTACAATTTGAAGCTCAAATGATGACATTTGGATAGGAAGATTGAGGATTATAGCCCAATTGACCTGGATGCAATATTTATCGTAGATACAACTGAGCAGTGGTTGGTGGAGAAAGATGATCCAGTGATGCGCAAGAGAGGATTTCATGAGGCAATTGGTGATTAATGTGAAGAATAAGATGTTGATGAGGAGGAGTAGGTTGCCCATCGACATTTGAACAATGTGTTGGAGATGTAGGTGGGGCACCCGTTGAAGGAGAGTGGGAACGGTTGTTCTTCAACAACGGGAGATGTGGGTATAGTCAGATCGACACCAAGGATTTTGAGGCATATATGGATCGGCTTAATAAATTGTCGAGACAATTCAATGAGTAACATCAACACGATGAAGAGGAAGACTGACGTCACCTTTTGTTTTAGTCACTGTTTACAAAATGGATTGGTGACTCGGATCGTCCACCCCAAAAACCATGTCGGATCGATGTATCGAATCGGAGAATCAGCCGAATTGGCAAGTTGTCCCAAAAGTTTTTCAAAAAATCATTATAAATCTCTAAAAATAGTGTTTTTTTAGTTTTTAAAAGAAATTAGGAGTAATGCATTATGTACTTTCATTACTTTGTAGAAATAGGTGAATACTGCGACGTTTTCTTGTCTAGATGTTTGTATAATTAGTAATTATAAACTATATTATCATAATATTGCATCAAAATAATTTAAAAAATTTATAAAACACTTCCATATTATAAGATTAAAAAAATAATTTCCCATAAAAAGTGAAATTCGTATCACATCAAAGTATCAAACATTTATTAATTCGCTTTACTCATCCAAAATTATCAAAACCTAACTAACTATGATATTATATACTGAAATTGAAATTGTTGGTTTATATTTTATAATTATTTTAGTTTACAAAATAAGAGCAAATAAAAAAGGTCTTATACTATCATCTAATTTAAAAAATCTTATTTACAATTTTTTTCTTATTTACAATTATAAGGGAAAATAATACATTACATAATTTATAATGCAAAATAAATTGATAAATAAAATAGAGGATTTAGTTTTTAATGTATGATTATTAATTATAATATTATAATAAACATGATTCAATAATTTTTGTATAACAACTTAATACAATTCAAATTTATGTTAAATTTTTATTGCTGTATAAAATATGTTATTGTAATAATAACAAATTAATAATAAGTTATTTGTTAATATTTGTAAAATTTATAAATATATTACTTTAAAATTACAATCTAGACTAAATATGTAAAGAACATAATCTATATAGCAATAATAATGTACTAAAAAATTGTTGAAAAAGAACCGATTCTCAAGCAAAGAACTGGTACAAACTGGCTTTAACCGGTCAGATCCCGTTTTATTAATAGATCCGGGATGGTTCCATCAATACCCAATCCGGATCGGGTGGATGTAGAGGATCGGCATTTTTTTAACCTTGGTTTTAGTTGTTGTATGCTCCATTTTGGACTATTGATTCACATCCATGATGATTGTAAGCTCTTTTTTCAGTGATATGAATGAATGGTTAACAAACATCCGGATAGGGGAATGTCTCAATATTTTGTGTATTTTTGCAAAATAATGAAAATACATAATGCATTAACCCCTAATGTTTTTGGAAACTCAAAAACACTATTTTTAGGGACTTTTAGTAATTTTTTAACATGGTTTTGGGCCGAAACCTACTGATATGGCTGATTCTCCGATCTAGATCGTCGATCCACCGATCTGACATGGTTTTTGAGGTGGCCTTGTTATTATGAGATCCGGAAATGATTCCCGATATGGATCGATGATTTTTAAAACCTTGGTGAATAGGGGATAATTCAAAAACTGGGTATATAATGGACAAATCTAGGAAACATGGATCGTTTAATATTTGTAAAAGGGTTTTTTTTCCATAATAATTGCCATTATTTTGGTTATCTTGATGATACCATCTGTTTTCTCCAACTTTTTGAAATTGTTTTACTAGATTGGATTGATACCGAATGTAAAAATTGCTATGCTGTTATACAATGGCCATTATAGTATGTACAATGGCCGTAGTATGGACTGTTTTTTACGCCCCAATCCATTATGTTTATGTAACGCATCGGTGGGAGGCATCAGGGTTGTAATGGCAGTTATAGCCACTGTTACTGTGCTTTAATGACACCAGAGCATCTCTAATAATTAGTTTGCAGAATTCAGACACACCAAAGTCAACTAGTTGACTGAACTAAGTGAAGATTAGAATTATCTGGGGTGATGAGAGATCAAAATTGGTTAATGATTGCTAGGATCAAGGATATGATGCTAACACCATTATATTGCCCAGTAACAGTTACTGTCATTGGTTTTGGCCATTATTTAAAATCACTCAAGGAAGAGATAGAGGTATTTTAAATAACAGTATTATTTTGGATCCTTTTTTTTGAAACAACACAAACTCTAGGAAGGTTTGATTACTTGTATGGCCCCTTCCTATAAGCATACCTTCCTAGAGTTTGTGTTGTTTCAAACTCTTTGTGTTTCATTTTCATACAGTCTCAGGCAAATCAATCAAGAAGGTTTGATTACTTGTTCTTCCTCAAACTCTAGGAAGGGGCCATACTACGCTGAATGAACCAACCAGTGTAGGGCTCCACATTGTGAGCTAAATATTAGCTTTGACCACTGGAAAAATAGAAGCAGCTTTTGTTTGAAACTTCTAGTTGATGCTCCTAATGACATTTTGTTAAATTTTCAATTTAAATCTTATGTCTTGAAGAAGTGTTTGGATTCATGCAGTGGCATGCTCTTCTATCCAGTAGGAAAATCCACAATGCAAAGAGAAACAACACTTTAAAGAAAATTTTAGAGCAGTTCTTTCCACTGCACCATGCTCCACACAGTGTAGACTATGCTTAAATGAGTACATTGTCAATTATGCTTTTGGACTCATTTACATCGAACAGAGAGCATATAAAACAGAAATGGCAGACATCCATGCTGTATAACTTAAATTCCATTAGTAGTTTCCTAAATATCGAAGCAACATACAGGTGAGGCTCTTCAGATTATTGTGCATGTCAATAGTAGTTGTCTATCAATGACTTGTCGATTATAATTTATTGATTCTTTGCTTGGATCTATTCTTGTAGACTATATTCTTCATTTATTGGCCACAATTTCATGTTTCTATTTATAATGAAGGTTGGAGAATTGGTTCAGGAAGATTCGCGTATAGATCGGTATCCATTGTTAATCAAAGGTGAAACAAAAATTGTTTGGGAGTGGCAAGGTATGAACTAAAGTTCCTTCTTGATAGTGGTGCGAACTAAGGCTGAATCTGATGAACTGAGCTTTCAAATATGATATTAATACATTAAAAACATACAATGCATGTTTAAACTGTATGCAATATATCATACGTTATATTATATGGCTAAAAAGCATACAATACATTTTATGCTGTGTGCCATATATCATAATTTATTTTATATGCGCTATATAAAGAATCCGTGTTCATTTATCCTCTAAATACACATAATATTCCATTTTGCTAACAACAACAGGCGAAGGAGATGAAAAAAAATACTTGCGAAAATATGTTAAAGAAAGGGGAAGCAAAAGGACCTGTCTGGAAAATAAGGGCTGGTCTTGAATTACTGTAGTAGGGCAAGACCAGCTGGTTCGGTTTGGACTTAGGAAACTGGCTGATCCAGACATTGAACTGGATATTCTTTGGTTCGATGTCGGTTGCAAGGTCCCACCGGTTCAGGATCCCCAACTTGACTATTGTGATGATTGGTTTCTGTTCCGGTTGGTCTGACCAGCCAGTCTGTCACAGTCTTAATTTCGTTGATACAGATTCATATCAGTTTGAGGGATATGTCACTTGTTTCCATGTCCATGTCTAGCATTACTGGAAATTCCAAGTCATATCCTTGCTACCCTGTATCCATTTCCCCACTTATAGTTGGTTAGTTTCGGTTTCCATTGGTTCTAGGGGAGCTACAGAAGGGGATGCTTTTTTCATATTTTGAGAACAGTAGCTAGTTTTGTAGAGGCTTTCGATGGGCGAATCTATCAAAACCGATGGCAATTCTACTATTTGAAATTCGGATTAGAATTTGTATGGTCCTTTTTTTCTAAAGTATCTAATTAGATTTCATTTGACAAAGCTATGATGCTTTGAAATTTGCCTTGGAAAGGCTTAACAATTATCAGGTTCACATCAAAGGGCAAAAGATTGGTAGTCACTATTTTATTATTGAAAGACAATTCATGAAATTAGTTTTTCAATTCATTAATAGCACAATCTAATAACAAATGTTTGCTTGCATCCGAGTTGCTTGTTTTGGTAGTATGCAGATCTCTTAGATTGGTTTCTTTTCTCTTTTAGTGGAGGGCTCTCTACATTCAAGGATGAGAACAACACAAAGAGTGAGCAAGATGAGACATTTTGAAAATGAAACTGCAGTTTCAAAACAAGAAAGTTGCAGCAGGGCAGGTGACTGTCGTAATCAATTCAGTGTTGATAGTTTTCTTCTTCCCTTGACTAATGTCACCTTGAATATATTGAGGATTTTACTTCCTTTTCTGTTTCTTATTTTTTTTTCAGTCCCAGGTCTTGCATACTCTTAAACCAAATACTAGTTCGATCAATTGTTCTTGAAGCTGCATCTTCAACTGAAATCTCTGCCAGATCACTGATTCCCAAACATGGAAGTTCTTGAAATGGAGATATCTACTGGCTGGCAGACAAATCTGTGTGTGTGTGTGAGAGAGAGAGAGAGAGTAAGAAGTTGGGTTCCCATGATATGGTATATATTGTGACAATACTGTTTCAAATTCCTCACCTTCAGTAACCCCTTGCACATCGATAGTGATTTCTGTGCCTCCCTTATTTAAAGGGTGTGGTTTGTATAAGGATAAGGCTCTAAACAATCAAAGTACAGTGCGCCTTCAAATAGTTTCGAGACGTGGTTTCAAACATGAAATCTATGTTATAGCCTTAAAATATATTTTGTCTCTAATTATAAAATTTAAAGCTTAAACGATAGTGTAGATCGAGTAGATCTATTAAAACTTGAAAAGCATAAAATTGACAATCTAAAAGTGCATTATAAGATGTACTATTTTCAAAACTTAACAATCCATTTTTTTCTTATGTCCATGCATCTTGAGGCCAGGATGATCAATTCGAGGGTATCTGGGTATCAAAACCACCTCTTCTTGTGACATTTTTGAGGTGCCCTCTAATTTAGTTGTTTAGAGCCTCGCACTTATATAAACTTTTTTCTTAATTAAAAGGGACATTTTTTCATAACACGTAGTCTACTTCATAGCTACACTGAGCGGTACAATACCGTGTATAAAATCTTGTAGTTTGCATCAATTGACAATGAAAATATTTTGTTCTTATTTTTCCCTCATAGTGGGATCAGAAGTTGTATTGCTAGCAATATTCATGAATATCATCCAGCGGTGGAGGGCTTTTTAAAGCTTTTTAGGAACTGGATCACAGACATTTGAGGATAACATTACATGGTGATGCTCATCAAAGGAGATGAGGGGAACCTCATAGGTCTTTTCTTGATTTCAGTTTTTGCCTGGTCTTTAACCTTCTTTATAGAGATAGGCTTAGACACCACTCCCAAGGCCTCAAGTCATGGGAAACTTAAGGCGTTAGTGGAATGTTGAAGCACCAGTCATTCTTATAGTGACCGACCTATTAAAAGATGGGTGCGGTTTGTATAGTACACATTCAAGTAGTGTTTGAGATACCCTTAAAATATTTTTTTATCTTTAATTATAAAATTTAAAGCTTAAAAAATAGTGTAAATCAAGAAAATTTATGAAAACTTGATCAATTTGAGGATATTTGGGCATCAAAACCTTTTCTAATGATAATTTTGAAGTGGGCTCTAATTTGATTGTTTAGAGCCTCAGCTTTATATAAACATTTTCCTTGAAAGATGGAAGCCTGTCAATAGATACTCACATATACTATGGGTCCAATCCTAGTGTTCGAGATAGTACAGCTTCAACCTCATCTTTGTCTCGTCCTGTTTTTTCTTTGATAGAAAATCATAAATTTTATTAATAAGATATTAAAATGAAATTATAGAATCCCAGATAAGAGTCTCATTTAAAGCTATACCCCCTTTGACAAGGAAATCCGCTAAATATTGGTCTCACAATAAACATGTACAAAGGAAAAATAAAAAGGTCTAGAGATGTCTAAAATTTGTAGTAAAATAGATCTGAACTCTCAAGATGATTTTGTTATTTTTTACACCACTTGATGACGTTTAGTGAATCACTATTTACAACACAAAAAGACTCTAAATCCCTTACCACAAAGTTTTAAACCATTAAAGAGAGCCAAGAGTTTTGCATGGTTTGTTGTGGTTTGCTGTTTTCTGTCCAAGAAGGTTTGCATAACCACTCATCAATAACCAGCTAAACCCGGGTTCCTAAACAAATTGCCATAAAAATTAAGTTTAAAAACCCCCTCTAGAGGCAGTACCCATCTCCCCTTAGGCCAGCATGCATAACCATCCCTCCATAACCAGCTAAACCCAGGTTCATGAACGAATTGCCATCAAAATTAAGTTTAAAGACCCCCTCCAAAGGAGGTACCTATCTCCCCTTAGGCCGGCATTTAAAACAGCCCAGATGGAAAAGTTTCGATGAGTTTATTTTAACATCCACTTCTAGCATGTCTTTCCCAACTGTTGTAATTGAACACGATAGCCAAATAGAGTGTAATATTTTTTCCAAAATTCTCTAAAAAGGCATATATTTTCTCCAAAATTCTCTCAAAAGGTATATATTTTCTTCAAAAGGTATACTTATCCCATCAAACACTATTCTATTTCTTTCCTTCCACACTTCCCATAAAATCAATCCTTTTGCAATTTTGCCAAAACACTACACATGTCTGGGGTAACAAAGATAACGCTAAATTTGATATAATCCCCTTAACTTCCGATGACATAACCAAAGCAACCCAAGTTGGTCAAACAAACCATCACCAAATTCTAAATGTAAAAGAACAATGTATAAACAAATAAGCACATATTTCAGCATCATCCTTACACAAAAGGCAGATATTTAGCAAAAGTTTTCCTTTCTTAATAAGATTTTCTAGCATAAAAATATTATCTTGCACTGCCAACCATAAGAATGCTTGTACCTTAAGTGGCAAAGGCTATTTCCAAATAATGGCAATTTCAAGCATGGACCATCTCCATCGGTTATGTACATTGACTTTACCGAGTATATACCATCTTTATCAATCTCCCAAACCACCTCATCAATTGCATCTTGCGGAATATAAACTCCATTCAATTGCATTAACAACCCATAATACTCTCGAAAAATCTCTTCTAAAATCTTTTTACAGGGGAGATAAATATTCCACACAATCTAATGTCCCCTGATTTAAAAAAAAAAAAATCAGCAATAATACGTTGAACAACTAGTGGAAAAAACGTATTTCAAAGGTGATGATCCTAACCATTTGTGATGCCAAAAGGAGATATTGCGACGATCATCCAATCTCCATCGAATGTCATTGTGAATCAAAGTTTTACATGAGTTAATAGATCTCCAATAATAGGACATCCCCTTTGTATCATTTCTCAAACCAACCCACATGTTATATCTATCATCTCCATATTTCGTGGAAATAACTTTATCCACAGTTGATTTTTGAAGTTTAAACTTCTCCACCACAATTTATAAAGTAAGGCCTGGTTTACAATTTTGATTTTCCTTGTTCCCAAACCACGTTCTTTTGTAGGTGTGCACACCCTATCCTAACGAAGAAGATGATATTTTTTTGAGTTTTCAAAAGAGCCCCAGAGAAAATTCCTCATTGAAGATTCTTTTTTCCTAGCAACTAGAAACATAATCTGTAACAGAGACATTTGGTAAATTGTTAAGTTTGACAAATACGCATTTACCAAAGTAATCCTACCTCCCAAGGAAATGTATTTATACTTCTACAAATCAAGCTTAACTTGTATCATTTGGATCACTTTATCCCAAACAGCCAAAGGTAGTCGGCCATCTGAAATTGGCAAACCCAAATACATGATTGGAAAAACTTCTACCTTACATCCCAACACTTCAGCAATTTCAAGGACCAAAGAATCATTACAATTTATAACAATCACTGCATATTTCACAAAATTAACTTTAATACCCAAAACCACTTTACAACATTACAAGAAAGTAGCTATATTTTCAATCTGTTCACACTTAGCATCACAGAAAAGCAGTGTAGCATCTGCATATTGTAAATGCGAAATGCAAGCTCTATCATTAGGCATTTGAAAGCCCGCAAAAGGCCGTTTAGATTCAACATTATGTACAAAAAGGCTAAAGCACTCTGCATAAATGGTGAACATAAAAGGGTACAAAGGATCACCTTGATGAAGACTTCGGGAAGCACTAAAAAAACTAGTAATACAAAATGGAAAAATGCGCAGAGAATAAATACCCATAACTCCAATTTCTCCACTTCTCACCAAAGCCCATACTTTTTATAATTTATTAAAGAATGCTTTATTCAACCCTATCATAGGTTTTTTCCATATCCAATTTAGTCACAACCCCAACAATACCACTCATAATTCTTGAGTGAATGCACTCCTGTGCAACCAGGACATTATTAGTTATCAATCTGTCTTTAATGAAGGCTGAATGAGGCCTTATGATAATAACCGGCAGGATCACTTTAAACCTTTCCCCAAGCACCTTAGCTATAATTTTATTGAGACTCCAGAGAAGGCTAACTGGCCTAATATCACCAAGGTTAATAATGACAAACATTTTAGGAATAAGGGCTATAAAAGTGGAGTTGACCCCTCTAAAAGGCTTGCCTCTCCGAATGAATCCTCGTACCATCTCCAACAACTCACCTTCAAAAACGGGTAGGGGCTCGTCATCTCCATTGAATTACCTAAAAAATATTGATATTTCATCCATTAATTGTGGTATTGTATGAGCTAGTTTGGCTTCAATGAGTAGATGTGTTATGAGTTGCATCAAACGCAATTAAAAGTAAAATAAGTTTTTCTTATGCATGTTTGGTTCACGTGAAATTGTTTTCACATCAAATAATTCTCTCATGTGGTTCAATGTAGGAATATTTTTATACCAATTAGACTTAGTCCATCTTTTCACAGCAAATGACAACTAATTAATGCAAAAATATTTCCATACTTAACCACATGACAGAACTTTTTCATATGAAAATATTTTATAGAAAACAATTTCATGTGAACCAAACGTGTCATTAGTGAGGTTAGACAGAGATGCTTATTTGCAGGGAGGCTTTTGAAACAAGCGGGGTTAGAAAAATAGAAGTGGCAAACACGCAGCTGAACAGTTCTTGGGCTAGTGTTTTACAAAACTAGAACTAAATGCATATTTGGTTGCTGAACCAAACAAGCTCAAATGTGTACGATCGTGGTTGGAGATCGACTAGATAACTCAAATGAAGTGTTCGACAAATCTAACTAGAATCCAAATCCGGCCACGGGCCGGATCTGAGTAATAGGAAAATCGGCAAGTGCACTCAGCCTAACCGAACTGTTAGATATGGTGATATATAAAATTATCCACATAAGGAAATCCCGTACTATGTGGGATTGAGATTGATATTGATAAGTTTCCTAAAGGAAATAAAAATCCATTAAAATTAAGACTCTTGGGTATATCTCTTGGTTCTTGAGATCTATGTAACATCTACAGTAAGTTTCCACTTAATGTGGACTCTTAACTTTATATATATGAGATGAAAGATGAAATAATATGTGTGCCTTATTTGGATCAATATATGGGAAATGTGACTTTCTTTATAGAGAGAGGCAAAGCCACCCCTTAGAGAAGAGAGTTTCTTATGGATAGAAACACCATGGATATGCCTCCTGCAGATTGAGAGGCTGGTTTCTAGTA